GTTGGCCAAAAAAGTGTGCGCAATGCTGTGAAGGAAAGGGCAAAAATATTGGCTGGGGAGAGAAAGAGTTGGCTATATACAAAAAGACGAGTCCGGCGTGATGCCCTTTCGGAAGAAGATGGGAAGAAAATTTTTAGCTACTGGACGTACACAGCTAGTCGACCAACTGGAGACAAGAAAGATCTTGCTAAGCAACGTATTGGGAAGCAGGAATATGTCCATCACGCCAAACATGTTTTGGAAAAAACACAGACTGAGGCATTTCTTGAGTTCCAGGAGTTGCATCCAGAAGTCAAAGTAAAGCAGAGGAAATTTGAAAGTCTTAAGCCATTTTTTGTAAGACAAGCAAAGGAGAGGGATAGATGATCATGCCTTTGCAGAAAGCTTGTAGAAACACAAATTGTGTTTAATGCGTGCATGAGATTTCGCAAAGATGTCCTGAAACTCCCTATGACTGATACCAACAGTGAAGACGCAGTAATACTAAAAAATGTAACTGAGGCTGCAGAAAAGACCCTCTGTCCTAAACCAGATAACAGCAAATTCCACAATATTCAGTGCTTTGAACGGGAGTGTGATTCATGTGGAGTTGATGGCCTCAAGCTGCTGCCAGAGGAGACTTCTGATGAGGGAACTGTTCGGTGGTCGCGCTATGAGTACATGCCCACTGGGAAGTTTCTTTCAAATGGCCAAGAGAAGAAAAAGATAGTTCTCATGCCAAAAGAAACGCCTCCATCTGAAATGTTTCAATACTTGAAAGAGCTCCTAGCTGTGTATCCAAGCCACTGCTTTATGGCTAAATGGCAACGTGACCAGCTGGACAGCCTCTTGGATAACCTACCTCTTGACCATGTTATCTGTGTGCATGACTACTCTGAAGGGTATTCATGCAGACAACAGGATGAGATACAGTCGGAGTACTTTGACATCGCCAAGGTCTCAATCCATGTTACCATCCTTCACCGTCATGCAACAGAGGCCATAGATGGTGAAGACAGTACAGAAGAGAATCCTTTGCTTATCAAGGAACATCTGTTTGTAATATCAGATGATCAGGGTCAAGACCAGGACAGTGTACACAAAGTACAGGAACTTATTAAACAATATTTAACTGAAGACATTGGTATTCCAGTAAAACAAATGCATGAATTCACCGATGGTTGTGCAGCTCAGTACAAGTCACGACACTGTGTTGGAGATCTTTCTTGTGCCCTTGCTGACTTTGGTTACCCTGTGCAGCGGAATTACTTTGAGACCTCTCATGCCAAGGGAGAGCAGGATGCTGCTGGCTCACATGTGAAGCAGAAGGTCAGCCAAGCAGTCCTCAGCAGAGCTGCTACCATCAATAGTGCTAAAAGTATGTAAGAATACTTAGTGGCTAACTTTGCACAGCCTGCTACCTCAAGCTTCTCAGCTAGAACGAAAGCTGTACAGCTAAAGCGAAGGGTTTTCTTTTACGTAACGTCCTCTGGCGAAGGAGCTGTGGAAAGGAAGAGAGATGGCAGAAAGTTCAAAGCGGTGAAGGGAATTCGTAAGTGGCACTGTGTTAAATCACTTCCTCGGCAAGAGAAAGTGATGGTGAGACACAGGTCCTGCTACTGCACCAGCTGTATTTTTGGTGAAGAAGACAACTGTTCCAACAAAGAGTGGCTGGATGAGTGGAAAACCATTAATATCTTGAGAGATGGCTCAGTGGCAACCACTAGGCAAGCAAATGAAGAGCCAATTCTTGACCACGATACCGCAGTACATTTAGCAGACCTGGCTGTGAAGGGCAGTACAGTGGCTATTGCTGCTGATGAAGACCCGATGTATGATTTTTATCTCCTCCAGGTCACCTCGGATGGAGTTGAAGAACTTGCCTTTGACTTCACAGATGATTACCACTGTACTGCACTAAAAGGTCAGAAGGTGTTGAAAGGCCACTTCTACTTACGAGAGAACATCCATGATATGACATTCACCCTTGATGTCAAACGCATTGCCATGGTATATGCAGCCACTGTGCGCCATATTTGTGGAGACCNCTTTCCAAATGGGTATCGTGAGGTTTCACGACTAAAAAATGACATACAGTGCTATTTGTTATTATCTACAGTCGACATCATCATTCTTTATTCACACTTATTCTACTAATAATACAACAACGAGAAAGAAAAAAAGTAGAAATAAAAAAAAAAAAAAGAATAGAGTTCTGACTATACATGGATTTACACAAAGCAGTGGAAAGAGTGTGTAGTAGCCAAAGGAGCCAAGCTTTCGAGTTGGCTACTACCACAAAGCAGTTACAGATGGGTGGAAGTTAAATACACCAAGGGAGATAGCACATATATTAAATAGTTAAAATAGTAAAATAGAGCTCTATGATAGGTTAAAGTAGCTATATTCAAGCTTGTAAGATAGTGAAAGGAACAGACAGTGAGAGCGACTCTAGGCTAGGGCCGAATACAGAAATATCAGTTCAGTGAGACAATAATAAATGATATGTCATTCTGTGAACAATAAAAAATGGATGAAAAGAAAAATTGACTAGTTACCTTTGGTAGAAATGTTGTCGAAAGTCTTTAAAGAGGGCTCAATCCTCTAATCGGTGAAATGAAATTAACCCATTGACACTTACGTGTAACACGTGCCTATGAAAAGTCAAAATTTGGGAGAAACCAAGAAAGCAAACATATTGCACAGTAAATTTTTAAAAATCATCTTTTCCAAAAAACAAGCTCCAGTGAAAGAAGACTAATCAAAGAACTAATTTCCGATGAAAAAAGCCACAGGTGCATATTACGTTTTAACAAATTTCTAAATCAATAGGTATTTTATTTAGGTCTTGTTTTCCCCTATCCTCTGCAACCAAACTCACTTTGTATTACACCTTAGTTTATCCTTATATCGTCTATTGTAACTCTGTCTGGTCGTCCACATACGTATCTAACTTAAATAGAATTTATTATTTGCAAAAGCCAGCTGTGCGGGCTATCACCAACTCAGACTATCGAGACCACTCTGCCCCTTTATTCTCCAAACTAGGAATTTTAGATATTTTCCAAGTCAATACATTTAAAATACCCAAATTTATGTTTTATTTCAAAAATAACTTATTGCCCCCATTGCTTCTCAATCTTTTTGAAAGGAATAGCTAAATTCACAACTATGGTACCAGAACAGCCAGTAATTATCGCATGCATTTGTGCCGTACAAATGTCAAGCAGTTTACAATTCTCTACCAAGGTCCTAAAATTTGGAACTCTCTCCCTATTTCAGTCACTCGTTTGTCAAACCTTCTCAGCTTTAAAACGAAATTGCAAGCGTTTTTACTTAAATAATCACTGAATTGGCCAGGCTGCACATCCGCAGCACTTTTTCTTTACTTCATTTATTATTGTAAGTGAGGTGGCTCTCCCATAAGCCTGGTGGCTTCTTGGGTCTCCTCGCCTTCTAACTGTTAACGCTGTAATTAACTATTTTTTAATTGTTAATATAAGGCAAATAAAGATGATGATGACAGTAATTTATAACTGCTTTCTAAAATGTAAATAGGTCTTTAAATTAATCATTTTTGTTTACTCTAAAAGTTCTGTTAGCTATATTCTATGCAAGTTGTTAGAAGTAAATTTTTTAAAAAAAAATTCACATTAATTTTCTAATCATTTGTTTTTGTCACCAGTGGCACCTGAATACTGCCAAGTAATGTTAACACTTTTTCCAACACTTGATGCAACCATTGGTACTATTGATGAATAGGAATTATTTGTTTCGTAGGTGAAAGTGCGAAATTCTGCTTGTTTTACTTAAGAAGTTCTATTAGATTTCTCTTTGTATGTTGTTCACTCTATATTTTTGCCAAATTTCAAACTAATTTTTAAATATTTATAACCATTTTTATTAAAATACGTTACTGTTGTTTTATTTTACCATGTTTTAGATACCCCAGTAAAACTATGATAAAATACTAAGTGTTAGCTTTTTTACAATGCATGTAACATCACATACTAGTCGAGTCTGAGTGATTTGAGCAACAAAAACTAACGAAAGTTTTTTCATTGACAAACAAATTACATGAAGAAATGATTGGTTTTTAACCTTGAGAGAGTTCCGTTGGAAAAGAAGGTAAGGCAGGCTACCAAACCACTGCCACACGAAAGAGGAAATACTCAGGGTGCTTTGTTAGAGCTTGACCCATTTTCAAAATGGAAAGAGTTTCACATAATCCCATACATTAATTATGCATTCATTTCATAAAGACTAAATGTAAAGGTTTCTTTGCAACACTCTGTGCAATGAATGCTTAACCCTAATCAGTAAAATTAAACTGGTTCAAAAAAACTGAACTGGTTTGTAAAAAATTAAACCAGAGGATAAAATTGAACTACAACATATATACATCAGTGTTACTTTAATTTGTAGCAGGTTGTTACCATAGTGAGGTTCATTTCAGACAAAGTTTTGTGAAAACTACCACTGCACCAACCTACAACCCAATTAAATATCCTGAGCAGTGACCCAAACAACAGACTATCAACCCCTTTTAGTTCATCTTTCTCAAACTGATCTCGCGAACACGTACGCCAATGACAGAAAATCTAAAAATTGAGACTTTCGGCAAATTCAGATGGTTGGTTTGTGGCGATCATGCAACTGTCAACCTCAAGTATGCCATATGCGCCGAAATCGGCGAAATCATCAAAATATCTTAACTT